TCATGCTAGGCAAATTTAATTCTAATAAATTTAGGTCTATGAATGCATTGAAATGCAACATGATATTTAACATTGAAAATGTAAGACATGACATTTTGGCTTGCGCAAGAAAGCTCGTTGAACTTCTACTTCCCTTGACTGAGGCCGATGCCTCTTCAACTGCCGGTGACTTGGAATTCTAAAACAACACAAAGAAACTGCACTGAGGATGCACAGTCCTGAGATGTGACTAGCAAGTAATGTGACCAATTTGTCAACGAGCACACCAAGGACTAAACATGGAAATGAGCATTTTATTTCTAAGCAGCCACTTTGGGAGATTAGACACATTTCAGTGGTGTTCCCATTGCTCAAAACATTTCAAACTTCTCTTTCAGAATGCTCACAGAAATAATTTATGAACCATACCAGGCTCAGCCTCATTGCTTTATAAATTACATCTCACAACTTGAGGCAAAGCAGAATTGAAAAGCATTATAAAAAGAAACAAATTTTAAATTATTTAGTCCCAAAATAACTGCTTTGATAAGCCTATTATATAAATCTAGAAAGACATTGTAAAAATAATAACAGTAAAATAACCATCCTCCCCTTCCCTTATAATTTGAATAAGAACATAATAGGAACTAATAACCATGCAACTTTGCTGGGCACTGCCCCTCCTCGAATCTCGTGGGTCCTGTCTTCCCAGAGACCACCTTGGCAGATGCCACAGCACTTTAACTCCTCACTCTTTTCAGCCTCTCTTAGGCACGGGACAGCCTCAGTCACCTCTCCTCTTGGCCAAACGCTGTGAACAGTGTCCTTACAGGAAACCCACACCCTCTACGACTGAGTCTTCTCCGACTCACTGTGCTGTCTTCTTCCCAGTGCATGTTGTGTAGGTTCATATCAAAGTTCCTGAAGTCTTTAAATATTTCTTGAATAAGTAAATAGTTATGTGCTTGGTTCTCTGCCCTATATTTCTCTCCTGCGTGCTTTGCATGATTAAATTAAATCTCGCGGGGGTTTTACTATGCCCACTACTCAAATACCTTGCCCCACCCCCACCCCTTTCTAGCACTGCAGCCCTAAGGAAGTTACTCAACTTCTCTGAGTCTTACATTCCTCATATGTGCCATGGGAATAAACAATATTGTCTCTTTCATAGAAGCATGACCGGGGAGATCATGCTGAGGAAGTTTCTGATACATTTTAAGTGTCCAGCTATTTTAACTGTTATTGGTTTTCCCCTCAAATATTTCCTGCTATCTTTACATGGGTGTCATACAAACTAATTCAGCACATGTTTTTAAATGGGAGCATTGTCTAGAACCTACGCCAAGTATTAAACTGTCACTTAGATTAAATTATGCAAGCACAAGACTGAAATTGTTTTTATTGAATTTCCTGGGGTGACATGGGTTAATGAAGGTCTATAGGTTTCAGGTGTAGAATTCTGTAACCCATCGTCTGCGCACTGTAGTGTGTGTTCGCCACCCCATCAGGCCCCCTCCGTCACCACTGACCCCCCTTTACCCTCCACTGACCCCCCCTTTACCCTCCTCTGCCTCCCCCCACCCCCTTTCCCTCTGGCAGTCTCCATACTGTTGTCTGTCTACGAGGTTTTGCTTTTTTGTTTGTTTTCTTAATCCCTTCACCTTTTCCACCCAGCCTCCCTACCACCTCCCCTATGATGGCTGTTATCCACTCTCTGTTTCTATGAGTTTGCTTCTATTTTGTTTGTTAGATCATTTTATTCGTTCAATGCCACATATAACTGAGATCATACGGTATTTGTCATTCTCTGACGGGCTTATTTCACTTAGCACAATGCTCTCAAGGTCTGATTCTTACATAATTACCCTTCCCCCGCCTTCAGTGGTGAAGTGCAGGCAGCAACGGTTTCCTCGGGCTGTTAGAGAGGCTTCATCGGGGTGGAGCTCACCCACGTCGTCCTCCAGCGGGCTGTCGAGATACTGCGGCCTCTGCGGGTCGGGAAAGCTAATCGAGCTGTCTAGGACACGTGTCTCTGTGTCTCTAAGCCAGATCCTTCCTGCTCACGTCCCCGAACCGGCTTTCCTTTTGTTACAATCACAACCCCTGGCAGAAACGCCTCCCGCAGGCCTCCAGGTCCGACCTCTGTGCTGTGTGACCCTCTGTGTCCTGTCCGTCCACATGGGCACCGCATGGCTGACCGGTGTGTGCTTTTCCGTCTCATGCCACTGGCCCTGCCCGGACCCTTGTCGTCTCCTGCTGTGACCTCCATAGCCTCCTGGTGCTCCTCCATAGTGTGGACCGCCACACTACGCTCCTACCTCCCCCCGCCCTGCCGTTATTCTCACATTCTTCCAACTCACCCCACACACAACCTCACTGTATTAACTTCCCAAAATTACCGAGTTCCTGCTGTTTTATTAAGGTTCTGCATTCCCACACTACCTACCACAATTTCTTAAACAATGTAAACACTCAAAAAACTGTAGAACGAGTCTCATAGCCTTGCACAACAGTACGTTGTCCGCAGAGCCTCACACCACATCTTAGCTGTGCTTCTGGGAACGTCAGGGAAGGGGAGAGGGAATAAGACAAACATGTATAAGGAGCACGATGCACGACGCTCTGGCTGGATATGGTCCATTTAGTCTCAGAGTAGCCTTCCATGGGAAAGGCACTATCTCCATTTCAGTAGCAAAGAGGCCCACAGAGGTCAAGGCTACTGCTCATCAGAAAGGGTCCACACCTACAGACGACCTCACAGGTCTCGTCACGACATTTTACTCCATCTCTGCTGTCTTTTAAGTGGGGCTTTAAAGACTGGAGGTCCTTGGATGTCCTAGTTTTCTATTACTGCTGTAACAAACTACAGCAAAGAGCGGTTCGGGACAAAACAACTTTTTTATCTTGTTGTCTGGAAGGGCGGAAGCATAGAATCAGCCCCAGCAGCTGGAGGTCATGACGGCGGCGAGGCCGCTTGCTCCCCGAGGCTCCGAGGGGAGAATCTGTTTCTCTGCCTTTTCTGAGATGCCCTTAAAGGGCATCTGGGGGCTCCTGCGTTTCCTGACTCTTGCTTCTGTCCTCACATATCCTGTTGCTGACCTTGACCCTCCTGCCCCCGTGTTGTAAGAAGCCTTATAATTGCACTGGGCCCACCTGGGTAATCTGGGATTATCAACAATCCCACCTTGCCACGTTGAAGAACATCTTCACAAGCTCCAGGCATTATAAGACATGGGCATCTTGATGTATTATAGGACTCTACCCTAACACCTATATAATTTTATTAGCCAATGTTACCCCCCAAAATTCAACTAAAAATAATAACCACACACAAAAAAGACCTGCACATCTTTGGGGGCCGTGGCGCAGCCTATCGGACCAGGCCTGGGCTCTGAGCGTGGATGCGGTGCCCCTGGGACCCCGAGTCGGCCCTACTTAGGGGCCCCGACAACACTTAACCATGGCCACCTTTTGTCAAGATGCACTGATCACGGGAAGGGGTCATTCAGCCTGAGGAGGCAGTTTCTCTACTCACCGCTCACTTATTACGAACCTTCGTGTTCATACACTGAAGCCAGTGCCCAGCTTTCCTGAACACGGAGAAGCAGGCGAGGCCTGGGGGGCGCAGGTCGGAGGCAGGGCCCCGTGCGCTGTGCGAGCACTGCAGTCAGGAGCGCGCCGGCGATGGCGCTGAGCTCCAAACAGAAATTTTGGGTTTTGTTTTAAAGTTTTTATGTAAAATAAGCCTACTCCTGACTTCACGTTTTTTTTTTTTAAATCAAGGGCATCTTCAAATTTTAAGCGTTTATTTTTCCACAAAGTTCATGCATATGCTGTCAAGTGGGTACTTCATTACCCCCCTCGGCAAAACAAAGTCTAAGTCTGTTTAATGACTCCGTTCTTGCCTATCATAAGAGCATTACTTAATGGTGCTTGAATTAACAAAATGGATTGAGCTACTTGATGACATCCTTTCTTAATGATGCACTGGCTTTTTAGGTCAGCCCTTCTCCTCCCATGAGCCTCCTCGGCCCGGGGCCACGCACACGAGGCCACCCTGGTGTTTCTCACGTCCACTGAGTGGGGAAGCGTCCACGCTCACTCAGGGCAGAGGCAGATTCCCACCGTCTTCTGACTCCTTCCTTTCTCCTGAAATCATCGATCTCCCGGGAGGGTTTGATTCACAATGGGGGTCATTAAAATGCACTGGTAGAATTTCATTCCCCAAGAACGTTGTTATGTTACAATAAAAGCTTGATGAAGCATGGGGCTATATGTACACAGCTTTGACCACAGATAAAAATACCCAATACATGGCCTTGGTTTTGTTAAATATATTCAAGCATTGTTACCTTCAACATCAGCATTTCATAAAGAAATACTGGCATAAATGCCATGAGATTGGTGGTTAAAAGAAATAGGAAAATGCATGTTATTAAGCTGTAAAAAGTGCATAAATTTCAAAAAGAGTTAATACCTCGTACTAGAACATTTTAATCCTTGAATAAAATTGTAAAAATACTTCAGCATATATGGTTGGTCAAGATAACTGTATTAAAAGTACAGTCCTCTTTAGACTTTTTGAAAATCAAAGAACAAAGGAAGACAAAGTGATCTCTTGACAGATTAAAGACCTGGAGGTGAATATTACATTATATATATTTTTTGAATTGATTTAACCTCAAGTGAACAATAGTTGTCTTGTAAATGGATGTATATGAGCTTTAGAAACCAAACTTTCGAGTAGAATTTATTTCAGGAATGCCAAAGACTGGGGGAAATGTCACCTTTATTCCTAGAGTTATTTGTTCCTTAGGAGTGTAAGTGTTTTGACCAGAGAAACGTTAACGACAAAACGAAAGAAACTGAGCGGGGTGGGATTTAAAGAATGCCCGTTTGCCACCAGGGGAGGGGTATCTGCATACTAATTGTGTGTCCCCGCTTGGCCCGCCCGCAGCTGGAAGATCGGTCAGCAGGACAGACGGGGCCACCGCCACCGTCAGAGGGACAGACGGAGAAAGATGCCGGTGAAGTGAGTCGCTGCTTAAAGCTATTTTTACCCCAGGAGGTGTGCCAATGAAACACTTGGCTCCTCCTTACTCTCCATGTTTTGTTTCCTTCCTTTCTGATGAATATGCTCATTTTTGCCTTTCCTCCTGATTTATTTTTTTCTCCTTTCTCTATTGATCTCTTCTTCACTTCCAAAACACGTCAACGACTGGCTTGCGCTGGCAGGTCATGTTTATACCCGCTCAGATGAAGAAAGGTTATCCCCTGAGCTCTCTTTCTGCGAGGCTTTCCAGAATATTCAGTGTTAGAGACATAAGAGGTAGTCGTGATCCCCGCAAACACTGTTCATTATTGCAGTGTTTATGTGCAAATCTGAGGATGGATATTAAATGCTGGATGAGGAGGCAGCTGTCACTTCCCGGAGCACATGGGTTCCTTGCCTGAATTTCCCACTCTCCAGCACACTGCTAATTGAGTGTGAACAGCTAAGTTGCTGGAGTCCACATTTTGCAATGCAATACAACTGGTTCTGGCTGGCACAATTAGCGAGGTAACCGGTAGCTTTCACGCGGCTCCCATCTGGCCTGCCGCTTCTCTGGACACAGAATGTGGGGACTGCTGGCCTCGATGTCACTGACTTAATGAAGGAGACAGAACGGGAATCAGCCAAAACCCCATGAAACACTAAGTGCGATTCTGGCTCCAGATACACAGAGACTTTGCATGGAAATCAGACACACACACACACACACACACACACACACACACACACACAAAGAGCTACTCTGATTATGCATCACAATTATACAGGAAATACACATGCAATGAGAAGGGTCAGACAAAAGCTCTGTCAAAGTTACAACGAAAATTCAAGGGAAAGGAAAGAAAGAGGGGAAGGACATTGTCCTCTGAAAGTAAGGCATGCCCAGCAAAACTTAACCAACCCAGTACACTGTCCAATCAGCCACTCCCTTCCCCCACCCCAACTTTAATTCAATGAATTCCTTTCATTGACGTCGTTGAATTTTTTTTAATTTAAGAGATATTTCTCACTGTCATCTAACATAAGAAACGTCCTATTTTCAGCTGATAGTTTACAAGAATTAAGACTCTCTTTTGAACATGTTTTGAGTAGCCAATTACTGTAAATTAACCATCAGAGAAAATACATGCAGGAAGTACAATAAAATGCTATTGCAGAAAAAAAAAACATTCTTCAAGTATTATTACAAATGTTCCAAAACCAGAACAAAGCATGCATGCCCCGACACATCCACTCCAGGAAGAACGGTAAAAGGAGTCCTCGCTGCACACAGACACCGCTGCCGGAATTCCACCTCCCCGCCACTGCACGTGAGGTGCTGCACCAGGTACTGGCACCTCTGAATGCCTTCCCCCACGGGCGGCATGGCACTGAGACAGACTCTGTCATTCTCAAGGTCAAATGAGGAGAAATACACGGCGCGCTTCGCACAGGGAAGTGCAAACTGAAAACGCTCAGTATGTGGCCGTGCGTCTTAGTGCCATTACACTGTTTTTTAACTTGGACATATTTAGCAATAATTTGCTCTTCCACGGAATTCTAAATATACCATCACCCCAAAATAAAGACCAAATTAGCATTAGTCCTTAGGATAGTTGCATTCTGCCTAACTTCTGAAAAGTAAGTAATATATTACCACCAACCCTTTTAACAGAGGTAGTCAAAATTGAGCCGTTTGAGTGAAACTTGAAGTTGGTCAGAAAATCGTGATTTGGGGTCATTCCAAGCATTATCTCACACCAGCTGGGGATCTATTCAGAGTCGAAGGGCAACACTTCCCTGTATAAGAACAGTCTAGTACCTCTAATTCTACTATCTACAAAATTCTATAGCGGCAGGCAATCTGTAGTACTTTAGTGCACCTTCCTACCTCCGAGCACAAGGACTTCCCCTTTGGCCCTGGCTCTGCACTGCGTCCCGGGCTTTGCTGTCTTCGTTCCTCCTGTTTCCTGTATTAACGGAGGCGGTGAGAATAGCTACCGCCTGTTTGGACACTCCCATTCCAGAAAGACTCCCTACAGCCCATGAGCTCCTCACTGACTATTTATTTCGCTTTGGGCTGAAGCAAAACCAGTCTTTCCCTGGCAGACAAGACTGGCCCGGACGCCTCCCAGAGTGGATGTCGTCCGTTTCCTCCAGCTTCACGACCTCAGGGTTCAGAGTGAGGTCTGCGGTCTGTTGCCCGCCCGCCCCCCGCACCCAGTGATGTCCCCACATCATTTCTCCCCTCCCCTCCCCTTGCCCGGAACACACTTTGAGCCCACAACAGTTCAGCCACACCTGTCAGTAGCCTCCCCATCGCCATCACGGACCAGCATCTCGAAGTGCACTGTTTTCACCGAAGGCCTTCCCACCTGCCACTCCTGGGGGCTTGGTCACTCATTCAGTATCTGCTTATTTGTTTAACACGTATTTCTTAGACCAGACACACGGGTCTTGGTGCTGGAAAAGCACAGCACTCCTTCCGGTCACCAGAGAACACACACACAGCAGCGTTCGGGTGCACACGCACCCTCGGACGGGGCCGCCTGGACTCTCCTCTCGGGCTTTGCAAACTCTGACGGCGGGTCCTCGCTGGAAGCCGCTGCGCCGTGGGGCCAGGCCTGGAATGCAAACTCCTCTTGGCCCCACTCACGGACATACACTCCTCGGGAGCTTTTAACCTGAATACCCTGCGAACCACCCAATTTCAGTCCACAAATAGAGACGACATGTTTAAACATGTGCACTTTACTGAAGTGACTACATGATAGTTTAGCCCCTTCTGACAGAATTCCTGCAAGACCCCGCACTTGAGTCGCAGGATTTACAGCACAAGCGTATCAGAGTAACCGGTGCTGCGGCGCGCAAACGCTCTCCGGCGTAGAACTGGATCTGCAGCTGGGTCCCCGTCTCCATTTGTGAAAGACGAACATTGAACGGCTCAAATGACCCAAAATGCCCCTCGGAATGAAACCACTACTTCAAAACGGCTTCACAGGAAAGCCTGTGTCCCCAAGACTCAGAAAATCGAGGGAGAAAGGAAAGTCAGCTCCTCCTCCCCACCCCCCGCACGGGGAAGAAAACGCGAGAAGAAAACGTGAGCGATGGAAGACGGTGACTCGTCCCCCCGCAGCCCTCCGACCTGCCTGCTCCGGGAACGCCCACGCCACCGCCACGGGAGAACCGGCCGCAGCCAGCGCCGCAGAGGGGAGCGCAGCCAGTAACACCAATGCCAATGCCGCCGCCGCCGCAGCAAGTAGCGGAGTGGAAAAGCTCCGAGATGCTTCCCACCAGCCCATCTAAGATTAGCCGCCTTGACATGCAAATGTAAAATTTTGTAAGAATGACTTAAGTATAAGAGTCTATTTTATCATCAACCATTTTCATAGAAACCTTCAATGAACCATCCCTTCCCATAACTAAGTCATTTGCACACCATAGCTACCTAACCCAAGATTTATTCATTTATCTATTTACTTATCTATTTATTTATTTAGCTTAGCGGCTGTGTTCTATGGATGGCGCTTATTTCACCAGGATATTTTTTTTTGTTAAGAAGAATGATTCATGATATATTTGCCATCTCACAAAGTTTGTATCTTAAACCTGATTTATTATTTCTACATCACATCCCCAAAAGTATACCTTCTTCAGAAGGCTTGAGTCTATAAATTTTTTCACTGCTTTGCAGAAGATATGACTCTGTCTTGACGGATTTCTGAATTTCAATAAGTCAGTGCACAACCAGAAGCCTACCAGTCTAAGGAGAACCAAAGGCTGCCTCAGAGTGGGGGGAAAGACTTTGTCATCAGCAAATTGTTTATTAATCTAGCTGACAGTGCTAATAATAGTTGCAAATTCTTGAATTGTGATAAAGGCACAAGAGATGTTGCTTGTGGTTCTGTGAAGCATAGTACATTTCTTCTCAATTGTAAATATGTTAATTGCTAAGTTATGAGGCATTTTTCTATCCTGTCCCTGAAAAGCACATAACAAACATTTGTACCAAATCACATAATGTTCACATTTTCAAGATCATCACATATTACCAAATCCTCATTTAAAATGTTTTTAAAACTTTTTTGAGATGCATCATTATGAAGCAGATAATTTCCTATATTGTGAAAACTTGGAAAATAGTTCATACATCATAGTGTTATTGTGGTCACTTTTCAGGGACAGGATAGAAAAATGCCTCATACCTTAGCAATGAACATATTTACAATTGAGAAGAAATGTACTATGCTTCACAGAACCACAAGCAACATCTCTTGTGCCTTTACCACAATTCAAGAATTTGCAACTATTATTAGCACTGTCAGCTAGATTAATAAACAACTTGCTGATGACAAATTGCATCCCACTTTGTGTTGAATTGCTGTCCACTGTGGAAAAACATTATCCAAGGTGGAGCCAAAGTAGGTTTACAGTTGTTTGTGCGGAAAACAACACAACAATTAGCAAATAACAATGTGAAAATAAAACCTGTGTCTCACATCTTCAGAACCGCAAGCCTACTTTTACCCACCCTCTATAATTCTGGTTGATCTTCTGCAGTTTGATTAATGGTGCAAAGCTCATTTAAATGATGTGATTCAACAAATACACCCACCTCAGATGTTACAATAGGTTACGGAAGAGAAAGATCACAATGCTATTGTCAAGGGTAGATGTTGTTTCTACAGGTCACCAGCAACAGACGCAGCGGCGTGGTCGGAGAACATGGACACGGTTTTAACCAACCAAGGTAAGAACCAGCTAAGAACAGGTCCCGAAACTGAAAGATGTATTTTATAGCATGACTTCGATCAATATTTGAAGGGTAAGGCTCTCCACAGTCACGCAAATGTACAACAGGCCCAGAGTCTAAATGGAGTTAGGTTGGGCCAAGAATAAAACAAGGTTATAGAAACTCCAAACATTAAAAGAGAAAGCAAGTGAGGAATTCATCATTTCCTAGACTCATTACCATTTGCTGTGTATCATGACTAGTTTCGTTACAAGGTGAAAGAAACACACAAACTACTGAAAAGTTGAAAATTTAGAAAAATCACTGGTTTTTTCATGTCTGGTAGGCCAGAATAAAGTTTATAAAGTATTTATTTCAAATGAGCTGTTCTTATTTTTAGTAAACACAAAACCCTATTTAATGTATATGTATATTAATGTGCACGAGTTGATACATATTTATATTATATATGATAGCTCAATAAACTAATTTTGGCCAATTATAAATAAAACCTCCCAGATGATACAAAAGGGTCACTGGACAAAGTTACTAGAACTTTCTGCGATAAATCATTCTGCTTTGCAGCAGTTCTATCTCAAATGGGACGGGGTGGAAATGACACTATAGAGACATATACAAAATATGCTTAAAATGTTACGCTGTTTGAACTAATCAAATGTCATTTCCATGTTAAACTCACAAAGTAAATACCAGAATTTTAGAAAAGTTTGCCACATGACAAAACTGAATAAATTCCTCATGGCTATTTATTCTTACGTAGAGTTATATTGAATTGATGAAATACTCTGATTTCCTCGCTCATAAATAACTAATCTCTCTCCAAAGCACAGACATAAAACAATTCACATTAGTCCTAGAATTCAGCTAAGGTCAGAGAAGAAAGACCTCGTGAATATGGAATTGCATTTTTGCGAGTTTAGAATGGCGTGATTTGTTTTCTTTTCTTCCCCTTAAACATATAACCAGTGGGACAGACGGGTTGGCTGAGAGCAGGGGGTCTGTCCACCGGGGTGACTTTGCTGGGCCCAGGGCACAGGGGTGGCACCCCAGCCCAGATAGCCCCAGAGGCTTTGAGACCAGGATGTAGCCTGCACAGGCACCTCCCCTGGGACTGATATTTCATGCCACACAGTGCAGAAAAGGCACAGATTCATCCAAACGGCTGCGTGATTCTTGTATTTTGTAACACCAGAGAGAGAGCTTACATGTCTTTCATGCTCTTGACAATTCAGTGACTCACCAGAGTATCTAATTGTTCTGAGGACATGAGGGTGTGCTCTGTGTGCATTGGGCACGGGCATTGCAGTGGGTCTCACCGACGGGTGGGTCCTAACCCTTTCCTGTGTCAGCACAGTTGGATCTAACCAACAGCCACTCCACCCTGCAGAGCGTGCCTCAGGGGGTCAGACTTCAACTGCATGCAGCAGGCCCATTACGGAGTACCAGATTCACGGTACATCTTTGGAACATTTGAACTGTGTGCACAGAATAGAGAAATAGTTCAATAACTAGAGTGTCCCAGACAGAGATGGCTGCTGCAGTTCAAGCTGTTTATTCCATTCCCTGGTGTCCTAAGATGATGATAATCGTGAGTTCGGAACGGTCCTTTACTGGAGATGCAGAACAGGAAAAACCAGTCATTGCCTCTTGATCTCTAACTTCCCATCTTCCTGGGATGAACCTAGAGAATCGTCATCAGGGAAAAAGCTTCGTATGCCTCCGTGAATCAAAAGTATTCTTTCAGTATTATTAAAGTATGCTTTATCCTCTATATGAAACATATTATCATAACTTCTGTTTAGAACCCTCACATCCATCCTTGTTTGGGCCAACTCAAGAAATTTTAACTAAGGGCTATTAGTAGGATTTTTATAACCCAAATCTGTGTCACAAAACCTTCATGGATACAGCTTTACATTCCAGAAGCATGCAGCTAATTGCACTGTTGCAGTGCTCACTACTAATGACGTCCACACTCCAACGTCCCTACTGAGAATTTTAATTGGTACCTAATAACCTTTCGCAATGGCTCATTATTTCAACTTTATTTTTTTAAAACAATTTTAAAATTTGTTAAATCTATGTGAATCCACCCAACAGTATATAATGGGGAAAAGCATCCAGAGCAAATATCTTGACAATCACGTTCCATATTTAGAGAGTACAGTTGGCCAGGCCCTCCTGTTCTGTTTTAATAAACCCAAAGTAACACAATCTAACTTCACAGCATAATACTGTGTTTTTTTGATGACTACTAACAACCAAGATATTCCTACTCTAAACCAGTACCTTGGCCTGGGCCCCGGGCCGTGGGTCCAAAAGGCAGAGCCATCCATGGGCTTCCCTGTGGAGTAACTTACATTAAGACTCCCCTAAACACAACTCCTCAACTTCCCAGATTTGAAGAGAAAAAGTACAGGCTTTCTTTGCTAATGGAGCTAATTGTAGAGTTAAAGATACAGTCTTTTATGTTTATGACAGTTGATTCAAATAAGGCTTTTCATGTTAAAAAATTAAAACAAATAAATGTTACATTTAGAGGGGCGATAAGCAGTTGCCACTGAATACTCAATAAATGCTCACACTACACAGTGTACTTACTTTGGTCATATTACCGAGCTATGTGGTATACAAAGTTTTTCTTATATGTTTTATAGCTGGTCTAGACGCCTTCCGAACCTTTCTAAAATCAGAATTTAGTGAAGAAAATGTTGAGTTCTGGCTTGCCTGTGAGGACTTCAAGAAAACAGAGAGTGCGGAAAAAATTGCTTCCAAAGCCAAGATGATTTATTCTGAATTCATTGAGGCCGATGCCCCTAAAGAGGTGAGTAAACTATTCCAACATCATGAATATTCATCCCTTAGCAAATCTGCTCCCAATTAAAAGGCACTAAATCCATCTAAAGGGAAATCACATTGCCATGATGCATTCGAATAGAAAGTGTCTGTGAACTCCGATAGGAGTTCTGAAGAGGATCCGCCGTCCTTCACTGATTCAGCACGTATTTCTCAGTCCTGCTCCTGTTTCCTCAGCGCAGCATCCAGGCCCCAGGGAAACAGCGTCTACTCCTCCTTTCTCTTCAGTTAAGCAGCTCTGACGTCAGCCCTACAGAAGCGCGACTTCAACGGGCCCTTGGATTTCAAGGCCGCTTTTGGTTTTCCTTTTTGAAAACACGGAAGGCAATGTGGAATCGGATTTTGGAATAAAAAAAAATTTTAATTAAAAATAGTATATGGGGGAGAAAAAAAATAACTCCTAGCTAACATTATAAATTCTTCATTTTTAGTATCTTGGAGCTTCCCCAGTGTGGCCGATAATAATGTCTTACCTTCCAAAAGAAGGTGTTGTCGACCTGCGTTTCTTTGATGGGGAACAGGAGCCAGAGGTGGGAAGCGCTGCTTTAGGACCAGAAAAGGGAAGAACGGCCTTAGAAAGGAGTCTCAAGTGACGTTGACAACAGCCCCCCAAAAGCGCTATGTGTGACATCACATTCTTATTTTATTTACTCTCCAGAACTAAAACCACCATCATCTCTACATGCCCCTCTAATATTTAGCTTGAAAGTTTAAGCATTTATACTGTAAAACCACGCCGATTCCTCACTGAACGTACTTTAATGCATGAGTAGCAAACAGAGACTTAGGTTAGACCACAAGTTCAAGCCATCTTTCCGGAAGTGCAATGCCAGTATCGTTGCGAGTGACAGTTGCCGTATTTTCTGACCTAAAATCAGGACTCGCTGTGTAAGATGGGTCGTTGTACTTATGGGGACCAAAAAAAAAAAAAAAAAAGATGAAATGCAAACACTTTCAGGAACATCCAGGGCATAAACCTGCCCTATCAGTAGTTCAAGCTTTAGATGGCCATTAATTACCACAGCACATAATGGCCCAGCACGACACGCCAGAAATATGAACCACTGGAGTGCTGCCTGGAATTTGCAGGGTGAAGAGAAAAGAAATTCACCTCCTGTGGATCTATTTCAACATTCATTTCCCAGTCACCATCTAAAGAATCAATAAATAATTCCAAAAATCTTAAAATATAGTATATAAGATTTATCAAGTTGATTAATGTGTCATTCCCTAAAAGGCTCTGAAATCAACTCTACAGAGATTCTATTTATAGTGACATTGGTTTGAAAGCCAGATTTTTTTTCTCGTTTTTATGAATCCATCTAATTAATAGTGATTGTTTTAGAATAACATTCTCAAACAATATGTAGACTAAACAAAATATAACTAGATTTATCGCTGCTTTTCAGGCAATAAATTATATTGTCTTCTTAAAGTGCCTAAAGTATTAGTATTAAATATGACAAAATTAATTGAAAATAAAGTTTGTAACTTTCGATATGTAATAAAGTATACATATTGAAATATGTATATACACATATATATATACATTCAAAATAGTCATTATCTTTTCTATTATTTGCCATTAACTGTTTCCAATTTAAATTACTAAAGGGCATTTGCCTCTTATATTATACATCAATTGCAGTCATCAAAGTATTTCTCTATAGCCCATCAATTACATGTTAACTATAATGCAACTATTACTATGCTGATTCATTGAACAGATTTCTTAAGTGGCTGTTCCCACAATGAAGTAACAGAGTAGGAAGAGAGATTGACCTATATATAATAAAACCAGTCAATACATAGTAAGCAAAACCACAGTTTACTATTAGCACAGTGGGAAGGTGACTTTATCTGGAGAGTTAAGAGAGAGATTTATGGAGTGGCTCACATTTGCAAGGTATGTCAGTTAAAATAAGGAATATTCATTAAGCAAGTAAATAAAGAATATTTCAGCCGGGGGTCATGGTGGTATAGCAGGGAGATACAACGTTTTCTAGGGTTTTCCAGAAATTATAAGCATTTCGATATTGCTTCAGTGACGAGAGCCCATGAGGTCCGATGGGTAGCAGTGAAGATAAGGAGGGTGGGAAGTATTCTCTGTTTATCCAGTAGGCAGACTTAACAAGACAAGGTAATATATTTGATGTGGAAGGGGGAAAATATGATTTTCATAAGTAGAAAACAAATTCAAGAATGAGACTCCTATGAGAATTGTCTCCATTTTTCTATACTCAATTATAGTCATCTAACTGACTCTTATAAAGAATCAAAATTATAACCAATTTCCTTGCTAGAAATACCTAAAGAACAACGACAAGGCCATTTTATCAAGATGTCTATTACGTCCCATTTATTTTCTTTTTAACTCCTTCTGTCTTTATTTCTTCATCTATAAAACTGCTAGCATGGCTTGACAATTTTCAATTGATCCAATTAGACCATTCACAATGGGACTGCACTAAACTCACTAAATGACCCTTGTCCACAAGCTGACATTGCCACGGTTCTCAGTTTCCCCTTCAAACGGGCGTAGACTGAACACAAACACAAACTGAACACTCGGGCCTCTACGGGGTGAGGGACCTGCAGCTGGGCTTGGTGCCTTCTCCCTCCTCACCGTGTGACCCCTCTCCAGTTTCTGCCCCAACAGGGAGTTAGTGTGAGGCAAGAAAGCCTAAAGTTTGGTGATACCTAGACCTATGGTCAAATCCTGTCATCTTGCTGCAAGCTATTGCTTTGCTCTGAGCCTCATTTTCCTCCTATAAAAGTGCATTAGTTTTAAAAAAGTATGTAACAGCCCCACAGAAGAGACGAGAATGACTGAGAGAGATCACATGTCTGCCTCACGCAGAACACTTTTAAACAAAGGTTAAGCCCTTTGTGTCTTTAAACAAGTCGCTGTAAGTGCTACTGAATCAACCTGAAAACAACTGTTATCTAATTTCTAAGAATGTTTGAAGAACAAGCAACTCTAAAAGACCTGAAAAATGTATATACAAGAACACATTACAACAGCATGTTAAAGTATAAAAATCACTCTCTTCAGACAAAAACAGCTACTCATTAAATGGATTGTACATAGATAGTTTCCAAAGAAAATATTGCAGGAAAAATATAGGGTGAGAGCCAGGTATTTTGACTAAGTGATTTGAATATTATTAGACATGAAATGTATGTTTAAAGTGTCTCTACATTGCACACAGGAGGAACTTGTGAGTGACAAAGAAAAAATTATTCAACTTCTATTTATATTATCCCTTCAATGTGAACCACTAATTTCATAAAATTCAAAAATGTAAAAGATAGTATTATTTGGTTTTAAGAAAATGTAAACATCCAAAGAAACTTAAAGCATTTTTTTGTTAAGCTGAGACACTAAAATGTTTTAAATCATTGTTTCTTCACATTGAAAAAATATGATCAAAGAGAAAATCACCCATGCGGATTGTCCTTCTGTGGGGTTAGAACATGTTGGAACAATCACACCGCAGTGTAACGCGGTGTCTAAATTCAACCTCTTATTATCACCAATCCAGGAACAAAGACATTGGCAGTCCAAAAATAATTAATTCTTAAATCTATTTACTAAATGCATTTACTAAATGCAAGGACTCCCTAAGTCACAAAACAAGAAACTGTAGTCATAAAGAAGCAGATAACTCACTAGGTGTGCACACGACTTGTTTGACATCTGAATCTGGGTTTCTGCATTTATTCTTAATGCCGTGTAACGTTGTTTCTTGACTCGCATTTCATTTCACACCAGTAAATGCTTATTCCGTGCCCACTGTTCACCTCCTCGTGAGATAAAGCACCCCCCCCATGGACCGGAAACTCTGGGAGATGGGTGATAAACATACAACACAATGGACTGTGTGAATGAGGCTGCTCAGTAAGCAAATGCAAGCAAGTAAAATGGGCTGAGACTGTAGTTTGGCTCAAAAGAAACATTCAATCAAGTTAGATTAAAAAATTAGAATTTATGGAACTAGGGAAAAATAGCTAAGGATCAGGTGTGAAAAAAAAGAATGGATGAAATTGTTTGCATTATACCTGGAAGAATATGATTGAATAGTAGTGAGACTGCATGTTAAGATAAAGTCTTTATTTTAAATGAGGTTCGTTTTAAACTGAATCTTGAGGGACTACATAGAATTACTGGTAGCAGGAAGCCCATGAAAATGAGCGTCTAGAGGCATTTCCTGATATTACTGTATTTCCGGTTTTGCCTTCTCCACTTTTTTTTAAAGATTTTATTTGTTTATTTTTAGAGAGGGAAGGGAGGGTGAAAGAGAGAGAGAGAGAAACATCAATGTGTGGCTGCTGGGGATCGTGGCCTGCAACCCAGGCATGTGGCCTGGCTGGGAATCGAACCTGCGACACTTTGGTTCGCAGCCCGCGCTCAATCCACTGAGCTACGCCAGCCAGGGCCATTCTCCACTTTATACTCACATTTCAGTTTTCTTTGCGTTTTAGGTGCCACTTTCCTAGTTTTAGTGTTAATGGTATTTTAAGTCTCAGTCTTGCCCCACAGTTTGCTGCTTGTCAACGGTGCCCACCACCGACAGAATCCTCCCGCAATATAACGTTTGCTTTGTTAAATCAACTTCCTACGTCTTGGTACACCAATCAATAGTCAAGCGCTCATTCCATATGTCAAGCACAATGCTAGTGCAGCTAAGAAAAAAGAAAGTCAGGATCCCTGAATAGGTATAGCTAACCATGCTGGTAGAAGACCCCTGTTAAAAAACAACCACAATGAACTCTGACGAGTGTTGTGACAGGGACGTGCAGGTGACATGGGGGACAAGATGGGAGGAGGGAAGGGCAGAGGAGAAGAGTCCAGCGAAGGACTGGCCAGTACCTAGAAGGCTGGGTCAGGGGGAAGAAGTTGCGTGTCTCAGAGAGCAAACCGAGGCAAGAAAGCCGGGAGAAATCTGTAAGCAGCATCTGCACAGTCCACGGACCGCCGCCTCCCTCGAGCACCACGGTCACCGTCTCAGAGAGCTGTTACCGTCACCCCCACTGTACGCGTGAGAAACGCACGGAGCCTTGGAGATGAAATGATGAGCCCTGAAGTCATTAGGACGCACGGATCGGATGGAGAGGAAAGAGGTGTACAGCCCAGGCTGCTGGGTTTCCGGTTCCCGCCTCTGATCTGCTCCCTGCGTTCATTTAAATGTTCGTGGGGCAGCCTTGACGGTGAAGCTCAGGGCCGCGGCATCAAGGGATCGTGTCACGTGGCGTCTATCTTCCTCTCCGGCGGAAGCCCTTCTTTCTCTTCTCACATTCTCTCCCATTTGTGCAAGGTCGGAAACTACGGAGCCCAGGTTCGGATACGGCGGAAGCATTTGTCCTAATCATTTGCAGTATCACCTCAACCCCCCAGAAAAACTGATTGCTGCATTTCAACTCAAAAACGAAATGCTCAGGTGCTTTTCCTAACGTCCACACGCCCGGTGCCGCTTGCATTAGTCGTGGAGGAGTGCGCTGGGCTGGGGGAGCGGCCCAGTTAGCCTCACTCCCTTTCACTTCCTCTAGGACGCGTTCGCTTATGGACATCTATGTTTAGCAGTTCCTATACATGGTGGTGTCGTGCATTATGACTGCATATGTTCGGGGCTCTTTCCTTTCTCTTGCCCGACAGAGGGTGTTGGCACTGCACGTCATTTATGTCTGTCTGTAACATCATTGACAAGAGGATACAGTCCTGTGCATGGACGGAATTCTGGATGCTGCATAGCTTGCTGTTCTCAACGGAAAGCCACCCTTGAGAATATATTCCGAGATACAAGCGCGCCTTTAATGATGCCAAAAGTGAAGTAAGACTAGAGGTGTTGGTGGTGATTAAATAGAATTATGTCGCCACGGTGTGATTATAGGTAGCTTTAATGTGAATACTGATTCTTACACTCTGCTGTGCATGAGAGCTAACAGGCTGCCTGGCCCATTTTAGTAGGTAGGGGGTTTTCCATATGCAAGCTCATACCCTTTGGGGAATGAATCTCCTGTTACACTCCACCTTCTAAACGAGGAAGGCTACCTAAGTTTGAATTGAAAACGTTTTATTCAAATTATGTAAAAATATATAAAGCGCAGCTTGGGGTCACAGGAAAGCCAGAAGGAACACATTGAAATGTGTTCTCCCTGCAAAAAATAATTTGTTGACAGCCAAAAGAATTTAAAACCGCTGGACTCTGGCACGAGTTACTTGCAGTTAACAAAATCATGTGAGGATTAAAAATATCCTGGATCTTGACAACAAAATGGTTTTTCAACCACGACCAGAATCAACAGTCAGAAGGCAGTCATTTTCGGGGGGGAGGTGGCTGTCAGCGTCTGCTGTATCGAGGCCTCCGCAACGGTGACACAACTGAAAAGCCTCTAAATGGTTGTGATGACACTCAGCCACCCTTCCGTAACAATCACACCCCGCGTCTCGTTTGCTGAGATTGGCAGTGTGGCGTCTCAGAATCTAAGATAGTGTGTGACCTTTTGAAAAGTAAGGTATTAGAATATTTCATTTCTCAGAGTCTTTGAAACTAAAGAGCATTCATGCAAGCAAAATGCAGGCACTTAACTCCTATCAGTAAATAATATTGATAGGACTCTGTGTCTGTCGTCAAGGGATAAACCGTCCAGCCCGTACGAGTTTGAGATGCTCAGCAAAATCTGAGCTTCTGGGTAACTTTCAACAGCTCAGGCCTTCCTTAAGGTCAGACAGGTGGGAAGTCTGCCTCTCTGAAGGTCACCTCCTAGTGAGGCCCCGCCTCCCTTGCATTCCAAGCTCAGCATCACCTCTGTCTAGTCTTTGAAATAGAAATGTACCCATGTATCGTCTGGTAGAAGCCCACCAAAAACCAAATCGGAGATGAGTACAGTTAGAGGTGAAGTGTGCAGACATGCCCCAAGAGTAACTCTAGTAAAGGAACTTATGTGTCCAAATATGTATTAGGACTAATATTTTTATGTTTTCCTAATAGTGAAATTTCAGAAAGGTCAGGGAGAAAAGACACAGCCCATCCTGCAACTTCACTTACACTGACTTCCCGGGAGCATTCAGCAAAACCCATCACTCTCTTAGCTGAAGCGCTGTCTTCAACTGGCTTCCGGTACTTCGTTTTGTCTTCTGCCGCTGACGACAGCTCTGTAACCACTTTGTTTGCTGTTGCAGCTCACACCCCAGCTCGCCCCATCCTGAGGGAGGCCGCCCTCGTCTGTGTCCTGCTTGCGGTCACTCTCCTGGGATCTCCCGCAGCCCCACAGCTTTAAAGGGCATCTCCGAGTTCTCAGGTTCAAGGCTCAGTCCCGAGTTCCTGCCTCAAATTTTCTTCTACCCAAGTCTCTCCCTCTCACTGCAAGGAAACTCTGTTCTTCTCATTGCTCTGGCTAAACACGTGGGAGCCAGCCTTGATTCTCTCTTTTGTTTATACCCCACAGCAATCCATCAGGACTCTCGGCCGTCTCATTCTGCACAGGCTTTCTCTTTCTTTCTTTCTTTCTTTCTCTCTTTCTTTCTCTTTCCTTTTCTTTCTTCCTTTCTTTCTTTCTTTTTCTTTCCTTTTCTTTCTTTCTTTCTTCCTTCCTTTCTTTCTTTCTTCTTTTCCCTCCCTCCTCCTTCCCCCCTCCCTCCCTCCCTTCCTTTTCTTTGTTTCTTTCTTAGTAGCAGTTTTGTACATTATTTTAAATTTTTTATTTATTTACTAGTTTTAGAGGGAGGGAGAAAGGGAGGGAGAAAAGGAGGGAGAGAAACATTGATGTGTGAGAGATACATCTATCGGCTGCCTCTCACATGCCCCCAACTGGGGACCTGTCCCACAACCCAGGAGTGTGCCCTGACTGGGAATCGAACTGGCAACCTTTCACTTCACAGGCCAGTATTCCATTCTCTGAGCCACAGCCACCAGGGCAGTTCTAAAAGCCGGTCACTGTTACAGATTCTGTTCCTTGTCCTAGCTCATAAATAGGCAACCACAAGTCTCGTCCATCCTGCTCTAAGGCCCTGTGGGACCTGGCACCCCCGTGCCTCTCCAGCCCAGCACACGCCCCCATGCGCACACCTTGAGTCTTCTATATGTGTAACAATACTTTGAAGATCAGCTTAAGATCTCATTGCCCTCAGAAAGCACGTGCTATCCTTTGGACTCCTTCTTCGGAAATCTGTCCTTTTGATTGACTTTTCTTCTTAATCACCTTTATGTCTTCAGATACTTACACAATTTCTAAGCTCCCATTCAAAAAAATACTCTAAATGAATTCGTTCTAGGAATGACCACAAATAAACTAACAACATCTTCACGCACGTGTTAGCATTTCTCCCCAGAAATATAGAGATAATAGTACAATTCATTTTATAGTTGTGTGGATGATATAAAGTAGTCATATAAAGACATAGCTCATCAGTACTAATACTCAACAAATATTATTAGTTTTTACAGTTTACATAATCATCTTTAAATATCCTTGTGATTATTTTGCATGCAATGCCATTGTTCACATATTTTGCCATAGGAGAAGACAGTGTCACCAGAAAAAAAATCTAGGGGAGGAAAACTTGGAACAGAAGTTGGAGAATGCATCTCTGCTTTGCTCATATTTTGAAGGACATGTAGAGGAAAAAAGGAATTAGTGAAAGAAATAGGGAAAAGACAGCAGATAAAAGACAGGTTAATTCCACATTATGAACTACTGAATTCCCTTTCTAGGGAGTTGACACATCTTTGTTGGCTGATAACCAGGTTGAATACTTAACATTAACTGCAGCCTTTGGACCCAAATCTGTTTAAGCAAGAAATCAAATTTCTTAAGATTTTTAAACTAAAATAATGTATAATGATAAGGAAAGTAGTGATTTTCCTTCTGTGATGAAGGAAAGAAAGCTTCTGGGAGGATATTCAACTTAAGTTAAATCATCAGAGACAAGGAAAATCTGTACAGAATAAAACTGTGGGGAAAGAGGGTTTTTAGACGATGAAACGGCGTAAATGAGGGTTGTGGGTGCCCACTTCGCCCCAGCTACCACCAGACCAAGCAGGAGACCCCAAGTGTGAGGAAGCCCAAATGCCAGGGCACGGACGTTAAATTTTATGTTACAAAATTAACAGGTTTTCAGCTGAATACTTATACGATGAAAGCGATACTTTGGTGAAACTGATACAGTAACGCTGTCTGTGGTGTTCATTGTAAAAAGGGGTATCGAGCAAGATATAGATTCCGTAGTTTTAGGAACGAGATTCGGGATAAAAACAAAACAAAAGGACAGACAGGCGTGAGAATGAGAACGATCACTGTGTCATTAAAAAATAAAAGATGAATGAGGAAAAATATATACACACACAGGTAATATGGAAGTATGTTATATATATATTTGCATGATGAGGGATCAGAGGAGGATCTGCGCTCGGGTCCCGGCCCGTTAGCGAGCCTGCCGCCTCCCGCTCAGCCCCGGGGCGCCGGCCGCTGCCTCGGGCAGAAAAGCCAGCGCTGCGCACCGGGCCGCTGGGCCCCACGGGCCTGGCCTGCGCCTCCTCTGCTGACCTCGCCCCCGACACCTCCCACCGCTCACACCCCACGCTCGGTCACGCAGCTGTGGTGGCTCCTCGGGACGCCACGCATTCCTTCTCGCATCATAGACTCAGCATTTGTTGTTTTTCTTCCGCCGGAAACCCTTTCCCCCAGATGCTCAGAGGACTGGCTTCCTCTGCTCGTTCAAGTTCAAATCTAAAATAACACGGCTGCTTTAGGCATCGACTGTCTCCCCCCAAAGAGAGCACAGTTCGGCACAGGGCAGGCACTCAGAAGCACCTGCGGAATCAGCGAGTGGAGGGACCGGCTCACTTCACAGCAACTGAGTCAGGGACCACCCACCTTCGGGGCCGGGAAGCGGAGCTCGGGACGCTGAAGCCCCTTCCCCCAGGTTACCGTCGGGGCCCAGTCCGGACGATTCTCCCGAAGTCTCTCCTCTGCTGGGCAGCACCCTCCCTCCTGCACAGAGAAGCGAAACCGGTTCCAGGTGTCGAGGCCTCCGAGGCAGCCGCAGCACCGACCTGGAGCTTGCAGGGAGGACCGCAGGGCACGGGCCGGACACGAAAGCCGCAGATGCACTCTGGGAGCGGCCGGGACCCCTAGAGAAAGCAAGCAAACGTCTGTGAGCAAAGAGAGGCCTTTTGATGGTGCTTGTTTTTTAAAAGGCGATTTTATTTATTTTTTAAGATTTTATTTATTTATTTTTAGAGAGGGAAGGGAGGGAGACAGAGAGAGAAACATCAATGTGCGGTTGCTGGGGGTCATGGCCTGCAACCCAGGCATGTGGCCTGGCTGGGAATCGAACCTGCGACACTTTGGTTCTCAACCCGCGCTCAATCCACTGAGCTTGATGATGCTTTTTACGGGAATTTTTTCTTCTTTTCTTCTTCTTAAAGTCATATCAAAATATTGTAATGTCCCTTATCTCATTTAGTGCTTAAAACTCTCTCAGATAGATGCAATTACTGTTCCCACTCACACCGCGGGAACCAAAGATTATAGGGAATCACAGAGCTCGCCTCGTGCGTGCGAACAGCAAGGAAGTCGTGGATTTCGTGGCGGGTCTGCCTGCCTGTCTTTCAGCTTCAGTTCGATGAATATAAATTGTCATTTCCGGGGGCGGGCAAACGTAGGTTTACGGCAGTGAGCACGAGAAGCAGAGAGTTTATATTTGTACTATTTGCTTACTTAGTTTTTGCATTATTTATTATTACTATTAACCTACTTTTGCCCACCCCTGCATAGTGTTTCTTCTACCAGAGCCCCAGATTCCGGCCCCTTTACAATCGCCCCCATTTTGCCAAGACATTTTATTTCAATTCAGCCAATACTTACTGATTGCCGATTATGCGTTAGATAAGCCAGCTGATTACCAAAGCATAGAGTGACGAGTAAGACAGACACGGCACCTGCCCTTGGAGAGCTTTCAAGTTTAAGGTCCCCCTCCCCTACGGGCCTCGGCAGGGCCCCCTGTTGAAGTCAGACTGACCGGGTGTGAACTGTCCTGCTCTCAGCGCGTGTCCCCGGACGCGAGCCGAGTCCGACGGGTCTCGCCGCAAGGGCGTCTGGGGCATTTCACACCTGGGCTGGGGAACGGCGTGTCCGATCCGACAGACCTCTCTTAGGCCTTGCTGGGGACGCCGGCGTGTCGGGGCGGTCAGGGGACCAGGGGACACGCACACGCATGCACACGTACATGTATGTACATGTATACTCGGTGGAAGGCACAGGGGTTGGTGGAGAGGAGGGTATTATTTGGTTCATTTTTAAAAAAAAAAAAAACAAAAAAACAAATTACAATTAAAAGCAACACAGTAGAACCAGCATGTGTGTGTGGGGGAGGGGGGAGGTATGGAGAATGAGACTGGGCTGGTGGAAGCCATCCTGGTAAATTCTGGTTATCGCTCTGCCTCTGGAAGGTACATTTTAGGCATTAAGATAAAAGCACCAGTGGGGGAAAGGGGTAGGAAAAGAAATTTAAAATCACAACGTATTTTGTTTGCCTTTTCACGTTGCCATTTTTTTTAAATAATCTCAAAGGAAGGTTTTTACCTGTGTTCTCTGTCAACGCCAGACCTCTCAACCTGGAAAACTTCAAATAAGAAGTGTATCTGCCATCTGTATAAGTCACATTTTTTAAATCAGATTAATCTAATGATATGCGATCTTATGTCCACAGATTAACATTGACTTCAGTACCAGGGACCACATTTCGAAGAACATTGCGGAGCCAACTCTCAAATGCTTTGATGAAGCTCAGAAGTTAATCTACAGTCTCATGGCCAAGGATTCTTTCCCGCGATTTCTGAAGTCAGAGATTTATAAGACACTGGTAAATAGCAAACAGGTTGGAAATCATAAAAAATGGCTCCCTTTCTTATAAGGAAGGTAAACGACAAACTAATAATCAGGTTACAATTTGGGGGAAAACAAGTGATTGGACAGAACATCTCTTAATCTTACACGGCAAGGCAAAACTGTTTTCCACACAAAGCACAATGTAAGATTTTTAGGGTTTAGAAAACTTTTTTTTTAATTCCAATGGAAAAAATAATATTTTAAGTATGACGTCTAAATTGCTAAGTCATTTGTTTAGAACTTTTTCATTGTAGCAGGTAGTTAAGAATCTTCTACTGGGGGAGTTTAAAGGGAGCTCAAACCACAAGCGGGATTCTCGTGACATTATAAATTCAGGGAATTATATGTCTTTGTGTGACCAAGTGGAGATGGGTTAGCATTATAAACATGATTTTAAATACCCTTTGCATTATTCAAAACCTCACTGCTATAAAAAACAAAGGAAAGAAAGAAATTCTGAGCCAAACACACTGAGTGTATGAAACTTTTTCTTTTCCATCAGGATCTGCTGGGTAATAATGTGGTTTTCTAAATGGCTATGGCTCCCCGATTAAAAAGAAAAATTGCAATATTATAACAGCATTGATCAAGTTTTGTCCAAATGTATCACTTGGTTTGATTCAGTGGCATCACATAACCTTGTAGGGAAAAGGCTCTGAGGGTGGAGGGACTGATTTTCTTAGATTGATAAGAATATAAAGGAAAGAGAATGAATAAGGAACAGGCACAAGTTCCTACATGATGAACTGCATGGTGGCGATTGTCCCGTAAGATAAAAATTATTGCAACACCATGTACTCAAGTAAGTATGGAATTAAGTATCTCTTCACTCATTCAGCAGAATTTATTTATAAAACTCAAAGAAATTATAAAATCCATTTATTTTGAGAAATCCCAGTTTCTTTCTGTGTGTGTGTGTGTATACATATATATATATATATACACATCCTGTGATAAGTATGAATAATGTCATGTCAATATGAGAAGCTATAGAGATTCAACAGATTGTCTCTTTTGATTTTATTTGCACAGATTTATTTATCTTTGACGATATCTCTATTTTGCAGACTATATGAACATTAAAAAATGAAGGAAAAAACGACTTATTTTATGTTTCTACAGTGATTTATTTGATAGCCAAAATTCTGTCTCCCTTTTGTCATCAAAACTAAACACTGAAACACATGCAAATGGAATAGTCCCTGTACACTTGCAAATTTTTTCTAAACGAATGCACAGTGCAAACTGATCGTGAAGTGTTCAGTGCACCTTATGGTGCACCTACTGGGGAATAGCTACATGCTTTCCAACATTTAATCCGAAGGTTCCAAACTCAGTGTAGCCTCTATTTAAATGGGAAACTCAAAAATTACCCCCAGAGATGAAAAAGGCTTTGGAAGACAGAAGGGCTCTTAGAAATCAAAATCGCATCCTTCCTTTCATACATTAAAAACAAGGGGAAGTGGGTTACTCCCTGAGGTCACCCTGCTGGCCAGTGGCAGAGCTGGTTAGGAGGTGCTTTTCCCACGGTGCCAGCTGCTCGTGCCCACGGGAACGGAGGGTCCTCCCCACTGGAACCGCACCGAGGCCTGGAATGCAAACGCCCACCGCTCCCCACACGCCCAGGCCCCGGTCCTGGCGCTGACCACTCGGATGGCCGCTTTCCAGCCGCTTTGCAACCTTCTCCGTGTTGTGACAGTATCACTGCGCCGGGCACGCTTGCCTCCCAGGGTTCTCCTAACCGTGCCGGGGAAGCCCCAAGGCCGAGGTGCAGCACCGCGCGAGCAGGAGAGGGCGGTGGTGGGTGAAAACAGAGCTGGTGCCAAATGGTTGCTGAGAAAGCAGATGGTGCCTGGCGTCTCAAAGACCCCAACCAAAGAGCCGAGATAGCGATACTTGGTCCTCACCTCCTCAACTCATCCCCCATCCCAAGCGATCACGGCAGGTTTTCCGACTCAACAGGACAGGAAAGAGCGTAACTGCGGGGTTGGGGAGTAAAACCAATTTTAAGTGTTGGGAATCCCTGGTAGTGAGAATTTCCAGGAAAATATCAAATGCATGTCATTCACATGCGGTTCTATTTATGCCTCTTTTGCTTTGTAAGTTACTTTATTTTACCATTTATCACTAATGACTATTTTATGGAAGGGATTTTTAAATAAAAAAAGAATTAATTTGCAAGAATGAGTAAGAACATTAACATCCCTGGTAAAGCATTTAAATATTTCATGATTCTGTAATGCCATTTTCTGAAAATATCTGCATTAGCTTTAAGGAATGAAGTGTTTATATTAAAACTGAAGCTATGCAGTAAAATGGTCATAAAATTACAAGACACTGACATATATATGACCTTCAAATGACAAGAAGAGTTTCCCAAGCACAGTGTTTCTCATTTGCTGACGGTTCATACAGAATATATTTTTAAACAATTTATATTTGCCCTTCATTAGATCAGACTTAAAAAAAATTAAATGATATGTTCCTAAAAGAATCTTAGCTTCTTTAACAATCCACTGTAGAGCTATGATCCATGAATTTGTCTACAATTCTTTTAAATTTATTTGAGTATCAAATAGTGACGATTCGTCACTAATGAGTACAGATTCCTGTAAGTTTATGCCAATACAGTTTCTTACATTCACTAGAAAGTCTCTATTTTGGTCTCAACATATAATCAACAGAAATTTTTTTACTAATATTATATTGTAAAAATCTAAAATGTTTAGGGCATTACAAACATGGGCTACTGGCAACTTTATTTTCCCCAACTTTTTTTTTAGTCAGTCTACACATGAAACTCATTCTGCTCATCTTCACCGGCTTACTTTCCTCCACAGATCCTGATTTGTGTGGTGTAGCAGCTGTGTGTGTGGTTAGTATCACTAATGAGAGTATAAGTTGATATAATAAAAGCAGAGGAAAATGTTTTCTATTTCCTTTCCAATATCCTTTTCAACAAGCTCAGTAGCACCTTGGCTTCTGAACAATAGTAGCATCCTGGCTCATGTCTGTGCAGAACAGTCCAGATTTCTTTCCTGGAATTTCAAAAAAAAAAATTAATTCCGTTGGCCTGGACTGAAAATTTGGACCGGACAGACCTTCCTTTTGATTACATGGAAGCTGGTAAGCTAATCTTCCCAATCATATACACTCTGTTCTAACATAAGCAGTCAGTTCCAATCATCGTTGAGAAACTAAAAAGATCCATCCTAAAAAAAAAAATGCTCTTCAAAAACAGTAACAATCTGATCTCAGTATCACGAGTCTTCACATTTATCTCCTGTGCAAAATTGCTGTCTCTACCTTCACCCCCACATGCCTAACAGTTTCACCCCAAGTGTATTTAACGTGGGGCTGACCGAGCCACTCCCAACCACACAGCCGTGCAGTGCAGTTCACGGTGACGCCGATTGTCTGCGTGAACTTTTCCACGCTGTGTGAAAAAGGAGGGACAGTCGCCCAAGCAGCAGAAGAGTCGCGGGCGCTGCTCCCTCTGCTGGCTCGGACTGGACATCGCATCTCCCTGGGGCAGCGTCGGGAATGGGTGCTGTGACTGCTGTATTTGCCCTGCGTGTCTGAATATAAAAACGCGTGTGCGCAATTAATTGTAAAAACAAATGAACAGATATTGGTGTGTTTCCAAGTATAGCAGAAGATGGAAAAATAACATTGCTAAATGACCTCATTTCTTTAAGAAACCACATAAGTTTTCTCCTTGTTTAGTTTAAAATGCAAAAACAGGATCGATGTCTAGAAGGAAAAAAGTAGTTTAATCAGGGTATTGTGTAGCCATGAATATTTATGTCTGTGCTGTATCTGGATTAAAGTCAGTTCTGTCATATTTCTGAGAAAAGGCAACTGTTTTGTTCAATTCACAGTTTTTCTTGGGTGATGACTGTTTCATTAACTATTCCTGGACATCTCATATAAAACATCATTTCACTGACATACTTTTACAAATCTTGAAGCAGTTAATTCCTTGCAAAGATGATATGGTCTCTTTGCTCTGGCACTTTTATTCCTTCTGTGTATTCAGGAAAATAAGTTGTAATATTTGGACCCACTCAGCTTGTGAGTGATGATGGGTTGGAAATAAAATACAAGTCCCTGGTTCTTTAAACACTGATAAGAAAAAATTAAAGGTTTCATAACGTAGGTATATGAAATAGTCTCTCATTTATTTTATTTATGTAGATTTTAATTAAAATGTCTTATTTTTAAAGTATCAGTTTAGGCCTTTAAAAATGCAAAGATTTTTCTGAATGATGACTTTGAATTATTGTTTTTGTTATGCTTTCCAAATGTCATATTTACCACAAAGACATAATCATGAATTCAACAATCATAAGACTGGTTATACTTCTTATAAAGGAAAGGACAGAGGAAATTCCTATTATGTAGTACAAAATAGTAGATTTTAAAATTAATCATTCAAAGTAGTGTTTAATATATAAACATGAATCTTTTATGGGATCATTTCAAAATCTATTATTAAAAAACCGAGAGCACTTCAAGAGATTTAAATATTGAATGTATAATTGATCTACTAGAGATTTGCTTTTAAAGCATCGTTTACTGTCCGACAGTTTCACAGATTATTTTTGGTAGGATTTTATCTTTGCTAGAAGCAGTCTTGGCACCACTGGGTGGTCCCGTTTGACAAGAGGGTATTTCTGTGCAGAACGGGCGCCCTCAGAACGGGGCGTTCCCAAGCAGAGGCCCGGTCAGAGGCAGGCATGCCGGCCGCAGCAGCTGCCTCCTCGCCCTGGGCTCCACTGCACGGTGACTCTTCACCGATTCACCTGTGCCGCGGCGTCCAGGTGTTCAGTGTGGCCCTCACGGAGTCAGCTGTCTTCCTGCCCTGATTGTGTCTGTGTATTCTTTAATGAGATCATGCAGTGACTTTATGTAAATACAACTTACACAAAGCAAAAGGAAAAAAATCACTGTCTTAATACATATGCAACTCCGTGGACAGGAGGTGAGCACTAGCAACCAGGAGTCGCTACCGCAGACCTCAGA